TTACACCAGGCATATCACTGTACGCTTCGATTTTCGAAGGTGATCAAAAAGCCCAGTGTTTGCGCACAACATCAACAACTTCATGCCATTATTGATGAGGTAACTAGGACCTTCCTTCCAGTCACGTATTTCCATTTGTCGGTGTCTGATCCGAGATGAGCTTTGGAATCTCCCATCAAAATGATAGATTTCTTTGTCATCAGTTCGAGACTACCGAGATTTCCTAGACATCAGTTCGAATTTACTTCGTTGGTGAAAAAACTGTTATTCTCCCTTTGAATTGGGTGCATAGACCTCTAACAACATCAAAACTTTTTGCGCTTGTTCCAACTTCAGTTAGAGAATTGTCACTTTTCCGCTGACAGATTTCCATTCAATGGTTCTATTGGTTAGATTCGTTTCTCTCGGAACCATATCAGCGGTTTGAGCGTGGGTCGCGAAGTGATACCTTGGAAGATTAACTTCCACGCTCTGAAGTTATGAAATTCGGACTTGCCCCGCTTTGCTGATTAAAGTCTAATTATGTTGAATCAGTACCTCTGGTCCCTATCAACTGTTCCCTGCTTTTTCCTGCGAATAAGGCGATATTTCAGTTTTCAACTAACCTGCCACTGTCAGTGTCGTTCCGTTGCAACTTCAACCTACATGCTATGATGAAATGGCGTTTACTGACTCGTCCGCTCAGAGTAGATATTGGCTTTGTTGCAGATTGGCGTCTTCATCTTCTTGCCGATCTTCAGCAGTCATCGATATGACACTATACACGCAGTTGTCTGATACACAAATCAGATACTGATCACGGTCTCCCTTTGTTCCAAAATAGCTTGCAGAGACCTCGGTAATCGAAGCGAAGACCGAGCTGGTGTAGCGTTCGATAACTGCAATACGGTGTGGGATGCTCTTTCAAGTCTAACTGAAGCTTCGTCGCTATTCTCAACTCTCCTTCTTTCTCATTCAAACTTGGGATTGACAGAAACCGTGTTTAAAACCGGTTAAAGCGGAAATCGTCAAACCTGGTTATGCCATCCAGACATTAGTTAAAATGCATGGAAAAGTAAGCAATAATATCGCTGGCTGCTATTATCGTTGGAGGCAGAAAAAGAGAAAATGCATGTTTATTTAGATATGTCATTTTTACGTTGTATTGACCTGCCAAGATATGTAACGGGAAGAACACGAGGAGAATACGTTTAGTTATTTAGCGTTAAGGTACAGTACGTTTTAATTTAACCGTTGCGACAACTTTTATTGATGAGTGTTTTCAGCCCTCCAGAGAGACTTTTTTGAACAAAACGTTGCTGTCTTATGCCATCAGATGTCAGGAATATAGATATAGTGAGTCATTCCGTGGAGCCTACTTTGTGATCCGTTCGTATAAAGGACATAGAGGAACTCCGGCTGCGGTAGCGAGAGCAATAGTCATTATTCTGCATTGAGGATTGTCGCGCTGTGAAATGATATTGGGATGGCTTTGTGGTCGCATCGTTGAGGCAAGTTATTTTCTTTCATTATTTAATGATTATATTCTCTGCAAATATTTTGAGATTCTTTTATTCGCATATCAGAAAAAAACATTGAAAAATTTCCTAAAATTCTTAAATTGTCTCGATTTAATTAGAAACATTTATAAGTGATTATTTATGATCACCTTTTTTGGAAAAAATAACGGATTGCTTTCTATAATCCAATTTCGGCTTTCTCGTCGCGGATAGAAGACA